GATAAAACAAACTTTAGAATTAAATCTAGTCTGCGTAAAAAATTCTCTTCAAAGATAGCAACGGTCAGCAACATTTTACGCTTAATATCTGAAACTAACCCACATAATTTGCAAATTGAATCATATTCGCGAGAAGTTTCTAAGAGATGCTAGCGTATAACGCTACACAAGTGATATCCGTTCAAGTGATTAGAGTGATTAGAGGAGACTTTCTAAGCGTCGCCTAGCCTTTGCTAATAATGCAACAGTCGATGCAACAGTAATTTCTTCACACAAATCAATACTACGATTTTATTTTTATTTTATTATATGTTATTCCTGATATGTGTTTATCATTTGCAAATCGCTTCGAGAAACTAGAACGAATTCGTTGAATATACGATGCAACATTATTTTAACGTAATGATATTTATAGCGGCAACTAAATAAATCATCGTAATTTATATTATTTTCCGTGACGTTAAGGATTAATTTTAGTAAGTCATTTCCACGTCCATTTTCGTGATATTTCATTTTATAACGGATACCTAAATATTACGACATAAAATTTTTGTATGAATGACTGTTCTAATTATAATGTCGCTTTATCACAGGAAAACACGCGTTACCCTTTCGCTGCGCGAAACTCGTAAAACGAAAGCGGCACTTTTACTTTTCCGTAGCGTTCCGCTGTCTAGCTCCGTCACCGGGGAGCATACAAACGCGAACGATGTAAATATAAAAAGATTTCAGGCAAGAGATTTCGCAATATCCGAGATGCTGAATATTCAGCAAACGAAGCGAACTGCGTCGATTTCGCCGTGTAAAATCATTCGAGGAGCTTCGGCCCCTTGCGTGTACCTACATAATATGCGAGCAAACCACGAATCCGTGATGGAGCACCCCGATCCTCCCACGCGTTGCGCTAATGTGACAACCAATCATCTCATCAGCGACCAAGTACCGATAATTACGTTTCTCGTTCTCCTGTCTGTAACGTTACTGTACTGTACCCACGTTGTACATCACGCATCGGGTCCGTTGATTCTCGTTATCTTTTTTGGCAAAAAAATAATAACTTGTATACATACTATTAATATATAATTAATTTATATATATCTACATAGTAATTGCTAAAAGTTTCTGAACAATATATACAATAATTTTCGATAATTTTTGTCAAATTGTTTTTCAATTTAAATTAGAAGTTCATAAGATTTTTGATATTATATAATCAACTTAAAGACACGATATATTTTAAATACTAGAACATATTAAGTTTCTCAATAAAGTAGTATACTAGACACTTACAATATTTGTAAAGATTTTTATAAAAATACCAAAAATTTTTGGCAGCCACTGTATAGGGGAGTATGTTTTCTCAAATTCAGAACTCATAGTTCCAAATCGGACTGGAAAACGCATTTTATACATTTTCCATTATAGTTCGACACAGGTAAAAGATATGTCAAAATGGTTTCAAGCAAAAATGAAGGAAATTAAATGATCTTTCGAACGGCATCATTGGTTTTATGATTGGACTTTATTTACGACTCATAGAGAATAAAAACTGCAAATAAGTCCAAATTAGACCACTCTCCTTTATATTAATATTATTAATATATTAATTATTTTGATGCTCCAACAAAATTATTTTCAGATTTGTACCTAGCTAAATTATTATATATTTGAGCAAAATCATCCTTTATATGTATGTCGTGTATATGTATGTAAACACGTGTCGTGATGTCGATAAAAGGCAACCGAAGGCGTGGAGGAAGGAAATAGCTTTGCAGTAGCAATTATTCGAAGGAAGCAGCAACTTCCATTCTCTATTGTTCTCATTAACTGCGGCCTTTAAGGTAAATCACTCTTTTTGTGCCCCTTCTCTCTCGTGTACTTTATAGAGTCAAGTTAAAAAAAGTCTATAGCGTAGTGGTATATGTTACTCCACGTGCTATAAATAATTTCTCGTAAATTCTTTCAAAATAATGTCTAACTAAATTTCTACGAATGAAGTACCACTTGCAAAAAATTTAGTTCTCCATCAGATTCATACGTATTAGAAAAAAAAATAAAAATAACAGGATTATTAATTTAAATGTCAATAAAATAAAACGCATGTAACTTTGAAATTTGTCGATTTAATTGCATAATATGCTCTAAGTAATTTCATAGCGTATCTTATTTTGATCGCAAGACATTAACAGTTTTTACGCGTGCGCATATTTTTTAAATAACAAATTTTTATTAAAATTGAAAAATATAAATCAGTAATTAAACCAAACAAATCATCTAAAATTTTAAAACATTATCCCTAGCAAATTATCTTCGTTAACTCTTCTATCGTACGTTTGGCACCCTTCCAAAAGAAATGGATGTTTATCTTTAAGCTGATCTAGTTTCTGTATTCCACTTAGACTTCAAAGCTTTGTCAAAGCTTTTGGAGAATTGAACGTTTATTCGGTAAATTTTTCAACGAATTTACACATTACCGTTCAAAAATTCTCCACGGACAGCATTAAAAACAAAATAAAATGTTTTTTCGTATTTTTATTTTAGCCAAATTTTATTATTTTAATAAAATAAAAAAAAATTTACTTTTTTCATCAAAAAATCTCAGTAAATGATAAACGGATAGAAAAAGTGGATCCGCAGAGTGTATCACAACTCTAGCAGTGCCTCCAAAGAAGTTCTTAACAAAAAATATCAAATACGCTTGAAAAATTAAATAACAAAACCCCCAAATATATATATGATAATAAAAAGTTAAAAAGAGATTTTTATTAAGAAAAAATAGTAAGTTTTTTCTAAGCATCAATACATCAATTTGTAACAGATATTTAAATTATAAAATTTTTGACTATAAAATATTATTTTAGAGTCAAAAAGATCAAACTGTTGTAGTTATATTGCTAAATATAAAATAAATATAAAATAAAAGAAATTACATTAAAATGTTGGATTTTATTTTTAAGAGTGTCCGAAAAAACTTCTTACGCAAATGTTAGCGTTAACATGAAAATCTGAAGGAAGAATACGTGCGTTGACATTATCGATTCGACGACGTGGTAACATATAGGTAATAGAAAAATCACGTACATGCGATAGTGACACCGACATTCATGCGTTAGAAACAATGGCACGATATAATATGCGTCATGCGTTTCTCGTTACAAATCTGCATTTCGTACGTGTTCGTACAATATAGGCATGTTAATGCAAACCGCATTAAATAATTGTTCAATGTTAACGAAAACATTTGTCAGAGGTAAGAGGAAGTTATACTTCTTATGTATGCGTCGAAGGATGCATTTTTTTAAATATAAGTGTTACAAATTAAACGTATAAAAAAAAGAGTATTTCTATTGATATGAATAAATATGGTAATTGCACAAAAATTAATAACAAATCCAGTTTGGTTCCTCGAACTTCCCCGTTATACCTATCGTTAATTGCTTAACAAACAACTTACGACGTAATTAGCACGATTACGCAAGAGAAACTCGCAGTATAACTAGCCGACTCTGTATAAGGATACGAGCAAGTCATTTTTCTTCTAATGTATCTCTAACGCAGAGGGAACAAGACGTTTGCCATGAAATTATTTCATCAATAAACCTCGAGAAACAACAATAAAATCGGCAACCTATGTAGATATTATAGAACTGAAACAAAAAGCGCAATTATAATTACTTATGTTTTAACAGAAAACGATATCACCCAAATTTAAAAATATTTCAATTGAAACGTTATAAAAAATTATTCCAAATAGGACTATAGAATGGTTGCGCCATTTGTCCTCTACTCCTCTCTCCTCAGATACCATTCTCTTTTTTAAAGTGTCTCTTTTAAATATTTTACTTTGACTCTTCTCGCGCTACTCTGTGTGGGAATATTATTATTCCAAATCTACAATAGCCATGTAGGTTCAATTAATATTAATATGTAATTTTTGACTCATTTATGATGTGCAATTGTAAGGTAAAAACCCGTAGTGTAAGCTATTTTTTATTAATGTGAATTCTTTAATACATTTTATATATTTATATATTTTATTACATATTTTATATTTTTAATTATATATTTTATTAATATTCTAGAAATACTACTGAAAACGCACGTAGATACAATCCTAAATCTATGATAAAATTTTCTATTTTAAATAAAAACATTTCGTATTCATGAACTTTCCAGCCAAATTGTTTTTTGGTATAATTGTAAATGCTAATAAGTAATTATTATAGTTATGAAATAATTAATTATTAACTGTTCTGACCTATTTTACTAATTTACACGCATATACGTCCGAGCTTGCAAGCGAAATGTTCGGGATTACTGGCCTGTAAGTAGTCCTAGTTTTGAAAACGTTGATATAGCAACTCTAAATGAAATTCAACATAAAAGGTCTAACAAGAGTCGATCGCTTTCATGCGGAGACAATATTTCATCCTAGAACTATCGATACGACTTCTAAGATGTCGTGTTAAATAAATATCTCCTGTTTAAAATTTATTAGAATTCAATGACGAGAATCGACGTGTATTTAACAAAGCAGCGGGAAATGTTCGTGGGCTACGGCAGGACTTTAACACAGCGGAACTCGTTTGCAAACCGGTATTTTCACCGGGAATTGTCCAGCTCGTTTAAAGTATCGAAAGTATCCTGCTTTTGTTCCAACTCGCGATGGTAGGAATTAAGATCGACTTGAAAGTTAAATTTATCAAACTTCGCTGCACGTCGTTGTGTGCGCCATGGAAACACCGTTCTTTGCAGCGTTTGTACAAAGTGCTCGTTTCATTGGATATTTGGTACTTGGCCAATTCGCCACTTGTCCACCACGATCACGCGAGCAAGTGGTCGCGCGCAATGTCAATTAATGACTTCCTCGAAAAATAAGGTAGAAAAAATATCTGGGGACATGTGCGTGCAATCTGGCTCCGCTTCCCTTCCCTTCCCATTCTTTGTCCAATAACGTCGCTATAATGTGGATTTACGTAATTAATCTGTTTTTATCTTACCAACATATTGGACTGATCGAGTTTCGAGATGAGATTGATGAACGATTGTTTGTCTGCGATAAGCCAGAAACCGACAATCAATGATGCTCCTCCGGTGATCTGTAAAAAAAAACACGAGGCTTTAATGTATAGGTTTCCGTTCTGCTTCGTGGACCTCAAGGCTACCAAAGAAGACAGAGAGGGCCTTAACGCTCATCATGCTTCGATGGCGAGGCAGGCGCGCGATTCCTGTCTGCGATTTTTGTAAAAAAAATTTCACTTTGTATGACGCTTTTCCTGCAAGTTTTGTTTCATGCGAGATTGTCTGCGATAATTCGACAGCCTTCTTTAAAATTGCTCTTTGTTCCTACATAAAAATAACGATTTTGCAGAAATATTGAAAAAATTAATCTGTAGTTAGATACAGATCTGAGAATAATTTGTTGCACATTAAAATAATTATGTATAATGCATAGACATATCCAGCGAGGAACTGAGAGATTCACTTAATATTGCATTTTTCCCATTAAAAATCAAGAACGAGATATATTCCAAGCTTTAAAATAAAAAAAATAACTCATTAACGCAAAAAATTACTATTTATGTGATAACAAAATTGATAACTCTTTTTCTTCAAAGAAATCCTTGATACGCATAGTAGAACGCTCAACAGCTAGTTGGTAGAATATCAAACCTTCTTACAACGTTGCTTGCGTAAATTTATGTTTGAATTTTCTATACATAATTATTTTAATGACAACAAATTTTATTTTCAAATCTGTATCCATCTAAATTTCTATTTTACTTCAGCAAAATCGTATATTCACTTTAGATTGTGACGTCCGAGAAGCAATGAGAGTGAATTTTCTACAAGTATAAACTAAAATAGATCAATTCTCTCGCGTACCCGTCACTCGTGTTCAACAGATTAGATTTATGAAATGTATCGAAAATTCTCTTTCTGATACAAAAGAATTACACACTACTTAAATCTTGATATCGACTCGATTACAAGATGCTTTGAGAAATAAATAATATATGAATTGAACATTACACATACATTTGCACTGGCTGATGGAAGATAATCAAAGAGGCTTTCGACACATTTCGTTAATTTGTGTTATCGAGCACAACGGTACTTGGGAAACAATCTTATTCTTTCCTGTGATATCCTAATATATCTGAACCAGGAGCTTTAATGGTATAAATCGAGAGATTATTTTATGAGAAAAGATTTCGTGTAGTACACTTCACTGACAATGAGAAAATTTGCGTATTTCTTCGATTAATTAAATTCTTCCTGTCTCTTAATACTACGCATGTAATTGGTTAAATTAAACGTATACAAAATGAGTGAGAAATGTTTCGATAATTTCACAGTGAAAATTTGCGAGAAGTTTACGCTGAATTGTTACTAATTGCAATACTGATAAACTTATACGATTGGCAAACATAAGAAATGCACGTTTCAATTTTAATTAGTGAAAATATACTTGTTGTATACTTACGAATAAAATAAAGTTGAAGAAGCAGAGAAAGTACTTGGCGCATCGCGCCATGCAACTCATTTTCGGTTCTTATTTCTCAACAATACCTGCAACATAATCATAATGTTTATTAATTATATATACAGGATACTTTGCATCAAGTAATTTTCTATTTACGGGTCACACAATTTACGGATCACACAATTTGGAGTTAATTTTTCTCTAATATGTACATTCTCTAATATAAACATCGAAAAATTGACTCATTTTTAAGTTTTTAGCAACTAAAATTTAAAGTTTTTTAAAAGCTAAATTTTAAACAAGTCAAAACTTTTGAAAAATATGCCTATTTTTGTTGTAACTTCAAAAAATTTTCTTTTATTTCGACAAATTATATAGAAATTAGATAAAGACAAATAGAAAAGAATATCTTAAATATATTAAATGTTCTTATTATAATATTATAAATTAAACAATGATATTTAACGTAACAAATTAACGAAATAATGATTTCTCTCAACATTCTACGTAGAGAAAAAAAGAATTTCAAATTAATTCAGGAACATTTATGAAATAAATGGCTCGTCAAATTCAAAACGTCTTATAAACATACAATTTAATTAAAAATTTATGACAACTAATAAAATATCTTTATATTAATAACACATTTTTGAAGTATAACGAAGAAGAGAAAGAAAAATAATAAAAATAGATAAAAGAATTCGCAAATTTTATTGGAGCTTGACGCGCTATTAAAGCGCGACTAATAACAAGATGCGAAAAAAAGATATCTTATATATTAGCGGAACAAAGTGAGCAGAATCGATTTTAAATAACATTTTTATTTGTTGCTCATTTGTTGCTAACAAGTTGCCAAAGAAAAAAATTGTTGCTTTATTAGTTTTTTTTTAAAATAATGTTTCGCTAAAGGAAGATTAAGTTAGCGGAACAATATAGATACACAAAATAAAGCTAATCGACGTAAAAATAACGTAGGAATTTGTTGCTCATTTGTTGCTGTTGAAATATGCAAATTACGAATTCGTTGCTTGCAAAATAGACTTAATTAACAACAAAAAATCTCAACTTACTAGAATCGAATAAGAGTAAATTTTCTAAATATTTTCTTAAAAAAATATTCTAAATATCAAGCAACAAATCCTTTTTGCGCTAAAACGCTGAGGTTTTTTGTTGTTAATTATACCTATTTTACAGGCAACAAATTCGTAACTTGCATATTTCAACAACAACAAATAAGCAACAAATTCCTACGTTATTTTTACGTCGATAGGTTTTATTCTATGTATATTTTGTTCCGCTAACTTAATCTTCCTTTGGAACATTATTTAAAAAAAAAAATAGAACAACAAATAAAAATGTTATTAAGAGTACAAATTAGTTTGGTCCATTTTTTGTGTTCAAAATACAAAATGTTTACACGTCGTTGCACTCGAAGTGTACTTCGATACAAAGCTGATTTTGTGACAGTTAAATGTCCTGCAACGACTGGTTAATTAATGTAGGCGAGCGTGCAAACGTGAGCGTATCGTCACGTGGCGTAGGCGGAAAACAAAGCAAAGAGAATTGTCCGAATTAGAACATCAGGAAGGATCGGATCAATCAGGATGTTATTTTCTTTGTAGACATTGACACGTAAATTAAAACGATTCCGACAATGTGAAAACGTTCTTGACTGATTTACAACGATCGTGACTCCTTGGCAGGTCAAAGTGCTCCCCGAGATCTTTTCGTTCCTTGTGAGAATCGTTATTGTAGATAATATCGATATCACTTATTGCGCGCATTATTTCAACAATATGTCGGAAATTAAAACAATAAACGATGAAATCTAGGGATTCCATCTTCTAGAGACATTTTTACAATATTTCTGTTTTTTTTAAGTGCACGAATATATTGTATCTATATATCATTATATACACAAAAAACCTAATGGTAGTAATTATGAAAGTAATAGTACAAGTCTTATGTAAAAGAATTAATGTACCTAAATATCAACTACACGTAGTTTGAGATTCATAGTTGCAATAAAATACTTTATTTAACTATGTAACATAATTCTATATACGAAATTTGTATAATTATTTACTTTTCTGAATTTTGTTTTTTTTTCTTACAACCTTGACAAAAATCTTTGTTGCGACTCTAACGGTGATGACCAACCGGAGGTTAAAAAATGTGTTATTACTGTTAAAGTCGCGATAAATATTTTTATCGAGATACAGGAAGAAAAAAACATTAAAATTTGGAAAAGACTATTGTAAATAATTACCAAAAAATTTATATAGCTGTCACTTTCATAATTATGCTCCTTTCTCCAAATGCAACGATGTAATATTATTATTAGATATATATCGCTGCATTATGAAAGAGATTCTTTTTTAGTGTCTCTAAATTAAATCTATTCGAGATTCAATATTCATTATAATTCCACAATCGCATTGCGTTTCTATCCTATCTGCGATATTCTGCCCTTTTATTACTATTATTATAGTACTATTATTTTCCATGCTTATCCTCTCCTTCGTATTTATCTTACCACGCTTTCGACACTTGTGCGTAATATCCTTTCCCCCTTTCTTGTATCACTGCAAACTTGCTCTCAGGATAAATTTCACGAATAAACGAATAGGACGAGTAAACGTCTTCATTTCGCGTCTGATAAGTATCAGAGTCACTTATGACTGTCTCTACTTCAAGTTCGGTTGTGCGCGAGTTGAGCGAAGATCAGTAACGCGGAACCGCGGGAGAGGCTTGATCAAGCGACCCGATATCGAATATCCAGAGCACGGTTCTCATTACTCTCTATGCTACGAGAGATCGGTTTATCCTCCCCTGTCCGTCGCGCGCGTCTCACGTTTCCTCGACGTCCTCGACGCAGCAGCGGTATCGACTGCGAGCTACTGCTATACTGCTGCTGTTGCCGCCGCCACCGCCGCCGCCGCCGCCGCCGCCGCCGCTGCTGCTGCTGGTCCAGCGGGAGGATCCCGCGTAGTTTCCGCGACCTCATCGCCTCCACAATCCTCGACGCGACAAACGTGGTACACTCGGGAAAAGTTATGGCGAATCGCGGAGTCAAAAGAAAGATAGGAAAAAAGAGAGGAGGATGGGAGGGAGAAAGAGAGAGACGTACGTGAGATTTTAGAGAGCCAGGGGAATTGAGAACGCGTGATTTTAGCTCCGGCGGGCGGTTCACCGGGGCGCAGCTCCCATCCCTAGAAATCGATGACTACCAGGGACGAACGCATCCCTACAGCGCGTCCTGACGCAAGAACGAGTCAACGACACGCGGGAAAATTGGATCAACTGATAGCGCGAGATGCCAGGGTTCCAGGTCAGTGGGTCATCGCTGCTGCGCTGCGCTGCAGCGCGGGACCGAGCCCGAATCGTTCCAGAGGCTCTTTCTCCCTACATAGCAAACCGTAAAAACTTGCCTTCGCGTTGACCTCACTAACATAAACGCGAACTATCTTCCTTTACTCACGGCGTCGTTTTTCTCGACGTCACCCCATCTCCTCCTTCGCAATTACAATATTCGCCAGAGATATCGCAAAAAATTTTTCCCTGCATGTCGAAATAAATTAGATTTCTCGTACGAACGCGACATGCATCGAAATATGCTCGTTTCTTGATTGCCCTTCGATAACAGTTCGATCTACGCGTGTCCCAGATTTCCAGTGAAATAAACATCATGTGTAATATTATTTGACGAGAATCGATAAAAAGGCTTACAGCTGTTTACTAATTTACCAAAGGGAGTGGGGAGGAAAGAGAATGCTCGACATATTTCATAAACCTATTCCAACGAATGCAAATTATGATATTATATAAAGCACGAATTAAGCTACTAATTTATTTCAATGTACTCGAGAGAAAAAGAGATATATATGTATATATCACTCAATATATCGAGAGATACATATAGAGCTAAAATTTTTTTAAATAAAGACTCACTACGACAGCTAAAACTGGGTATTGAGTGCAGTGAGTAATACAACGCGTTTAATAAATCGTATAATTCAAATACACAGAAATAAAACAAACTTAGGTTATTCTCAATGTTAATAAATAAGAAAATATACCCAAATTAATAGAAAATATCATCTAGCAATAAGAACGCAGTCATTAAAATCTTGAATATATGGTAAAAGTTAATACATATAAGTCATATAACAATGTTGAATAACAAGTAAAAGTTAATCAAATTCGTCAAAAATGAATTTAAAGTCTGTAAAGATAAACGTTACTTCTCTCTTCCAATAATAAATCGTTACCTTTTTAATAGCGCTCCAAATTTGCGGTTCCAATTTTTTCTTAAATAATAGACGGTATTATAATATGAAGAACAGCACGACCAAGTGCACTTCTGTCATAATCATCGTGTCGTATCAACTTTCAAAAGTGAATACATACAACACTTTTAACTTCCGACGTCTTATTGTTTTTTCTTTTTGGTTTCCGTCTAAAGCGCCGCGGTTTCCGTAACATTCAACATTTGAAGAAGAAAGAAGCGACATGTGTAAGATACAGAATACGTCATTCCTTTCTTTTTGGGAGAGACGTATTTGGTAATTATGACTATAATTGCATGGTAAAAATAATTAGGCACTTCATTTTTATAATTATTATTGCTATGGTAATAATAATTGTATTTACAGTTCTATTAAAAAATACGTAGTTGGCATTGAAGATGATTATAAATTACTACATACATTTAAATTATAGTAATTATAATCATCGTTCTTTTTTTTTCAGTGCATCTGGAATGATTTTTATATCACCAGGGTTTGTAGTCTGTAACTCGTTACGAAGCTGTCGTATGTTCATAACGACAGCTGCGTAGCTTTTTTACTATACAAAATATCTGCGTAATATATTGTCATTATAAATACATATGTAACGTTGCACAACGAGCTACAGAATTCTGTTGCTGGTGGCTTTCAACGATTTTCATGTTCTCCCTCTTTTTCGATCGAACAATAACTGAAGGTGCGATGCGACAAATCCGGAACTCATCTTGTAATAGGCGCTACGCACGCCGCAGACACGCGACGGCGACGCACCGCGAATAGGTATCGCGCACGTGTTT